CCTTCCTTGTCTTCTCTGACAATGACATCGATCACTCTTCTTAATAAGACCCGCAAGAAGAGTCTTGTAGTGTTCTTCCTCAATCGCAGGATCAACCCATCGGAAAAAGTCACAACCTTCACCAATCTCATATCTTCGGCAACCTAGGAACCTTCTTCTAGGATTGGTGGGTGTTTGTGACATTTTAAGATCTGCATCAAGTCCACAATAACACAAAGGTTCCTTCTTCATTGCTAAAGGAGAAGACGCGACAATAGCTTATTTCTTGCTGGAGAAGAAGAAAACAATCGACTTTCAAAAGAAAATGAGATGGCAAAAATTGATGGCCAATGAAGAATCCCAACAAAAAAAAATTATTTTGCACTGTTGAAGCTAACAAAGAAAGAAAAAGGCATCAGATTTGGATAGAAATCAACTTCTATAATGTTCAACAATGGAGAATAAGGTAGAAAGAAGAAGATAGCTGTTAAATAGGCCACAGTATTACCGTTGGGGCTTTTTAAACTGCCTTCACGCCCCTTACAGGCGTGTGAATCACGCACTAAAGCCAAATTTGACACATAGGATCATCCACGTAAGATAAACGTTTATTATTCACGGTTTGAATGAGTGTAAGTGTTCAATTGGCAAACTTTTAAGTCTGGGAACCGGCATGATAAAGTGGCTCAAGTATAAGTGCGATTTAAACCATTCTGCCAGGTAAACTTTTGATAATTTTAGGTAATTATTTTATAGTTTTTTTTTCTTTTTTTTCATTTTATGTCGGAGATTTTTCAGAAATTTATGATTTAATGGATGAAATTCTTTATACGTAAAGTTATTGGTCTAAGATATCGGGGCACTGAGAACTGGGGACGGGGCCACATGTTATTCAACTTTCAATGTCAAGAAACGTGGTAACTTGTTGTCCTAGGAAATATAGTTTTCTTTGGGAAACATGATAAGGTGGGAATAAGGCTCGTGCAGAATGGAGAAGAGCTACATATCCAACTAAAGGTCATATTCCAACGGTTCATCACACTCCATTTGTCAATTACTACTCCCTCCGTCCAACTTTTATTAATTCATTTGAAAAATAATATTTTTAATTTTATTTTTGATGATATATTTTTTTAGTTATAAAAATCTAATGACATTATTGAAATTACAAGTTCATCTTAAAATTTGTATTCCTTATTATATTTGTATTAATTATGCCACATAAATTGAAATTAGTAGAATAATATTTTTAATATCACACATGGATAACGCTGTCACTTCATGTTAGGCAATGAAAGAAAATTCCGGCTTTCTTGTTTACAAAACCTTTCTTATTGTAAAGAAAACAGGCGATTAAATCTTTCAATAAAAGGAACACCACTGATTTTTCATTCCCATCGGATTCATGCATACCTCTTATAAAAAAATANTATATACATTCAGTATGTTATATACAAAAATTATACAAATTTTATACATTTTTTCGGCTACCGAATATAAATAATTTCTTGCGGGCTAAAAGTGAAAAAGCCCTATAAAATAAGGTTCACCTGAAAAGTAAAAATTGCACGGGGCACCTTATTTGGTCGCCCCCATTTAACTTATACTCACTTTTTAAAAAGTATTAACTTGTACCCATTTTTTAAACAACTTCAGGCATCTTTCTCCTCCTCATTCGTTTTCTGAATGCTGAAGCTTGAGATATTGTTATGCGTTCTAGTCTGATTGATTCATATATATATGATTGTCCCATTATGTTTAGTTTGGTCTTATTCACAATAATTTAACCTCTTAGATATTTTAGCTTTACAGGCACATTTGTTTTTGGTTCTAATTTATCTGTAGTAACTTGTTTTCATGTCGAAAATATTTTTCATTCTTTAATCTTTGAAATGAACAACATAAATCGCTGCTAATCATGATCTATTGAATTCATTGTTGTTTAGTACTATTTCGTTTATGTACAATATGTTCTTTTGTTGAATTCTTTTTTTGAAAGATTATTTTCCTCATTTCCGTGTGCAGACTTAGAACTTCAGCTCTAAGAATGTTGAAGTTCAGCAAATATAAACAAAAATTTCAGCTCCTAGAATGATGAAATTCAGCAAACACAAAATAAATTTCAGCCCTTGAATGCCGAAGTTCAGCAATTACAAAACAAACTTCAGCTCCTAGAATACTGAAGTTCAGCAATTACAAAACAAACTTCAGCTCCTAGAATGCTGAAGTTCGGCAATTGCAAAACAAAAATTCAGCCAAAACATGTTGCAGTTTTATTGAGCTGAAGTTTGCCATTATATTGCACTATGAACTGAAATTTGCGTGATTGCCTTTGCAAGTCAGGCCAAACTTCAGGCAAAAATATATGAAGTTTTGCTACACTTCAGGCAAAACTTCTGAAGTTCAAACTTCAGACATAAATTTTTGCTACTTCATGCCCGTATGTCTGAAGTTACTCGAAAAGTAGGTACGCTTGTAATTTTTTTTTTTTGCAAAGCGAGTATAAGTTAAAAATTAACCCAAAAATTGGGTATAGATGCAAATGCCCCACCTGAAAATGCTATCCGTATGTGGGCTTCAGCCATCACTACTAAAAATTTGGTCAAAATCATTCGCGGCTGACTGATTGACTTAGGTATTTTTTTTCTCTCGATCGAATTCGGTCTTTTTTTTTGCGCCAGAATGCGAGAAATTATTTTTTCTTCTCGAAAAGTTTATTTTTTAAGAAATTGATCAACTTCGACCGATTTTTTATTTAAAATAAATTAAAATTATTATTCAGATAACTCAGTGAAACCGCCCGGTCATTTTTAAAAATTGGCCAATTTCGGTAGGCAATTTTATTTTTTTGACAAAATCGATCGAAATCGGTTGGTTATTTTTATGCAAAAATGCACTTAACGAGTATAAATAAAATAAAATAAAATCTTAAACCAAAAGGCACCAACGGTCTAGTGGTAGAATAGTATTTTACTACGGTACAGATCCCAATTCGATTATTAAGTGGTGCATTTTTTAGTTACATAATTTTAAAAAACCGACCGAAATGGGTTAGTTTTTATGATCGTCCTTTTTCTTTTAGATCGGATGTGGAGTTTAATTAACTTACCAAAATCGGCCGGTTGTCTCCACCGGCCTAACAATTTCCGACCGCTGCTAATCGGTTGCTTTTTGGTCGGTTCTTGCCATTTACTGACTGATATCGGTCAATGTTTTTGATTGTTTTCGACCGAATTTCTAATAGTGTGTAAGGAGGGAAATGAGTAATAATATTCTTTTTTTTTTTTGTCAAAGAGTAATAATATTCATAACATACATTAACTATAAGTATTAGAGAAACCTAACTAAGCATATGTAGCCGTTGCTATTATTTATAGTCTTAAGCCTCAAATGCTTGATTTTTGCATAGGCAGATAGACTAACCTAATAGCCTTTATTTAAAGTAGTAAAATAAAGACTAACGGTCTACAAGTTGACAATTTCTTTGCATACTGCATTGACACAAATGCTAGAAAGGTAGCTGCTAGAAACAAATTTAATATTTCAGTTCAAATTATAATTTACATCCTTTGCATTATGTATTGACACAGACATGACTAATTATTTCAGTAACACTCCCTCTAGAAGATTTAAAATACAATAATTAAACAATATGCATAATGTCGGCATGCGAAAATGAAGGTTTCACACTGTAAAGAAGCGTAATAGAAAAGAGTCAGAAGACTACTAAATATTTTTAAAAATTACATGTCCCGTCTAAAACAGATATTTTATACCATTATATTAAGTAAGCTTCATCATGGATAACTTTAAGTGGCAAATATAATATGGTAACTTAGATATTAATATTTTGCTTTAGCTGGTTAAATTATACTGATAATATGATTTTTTTTATATTAGAATATCTGAAAGTTAAATATGTTCACACGTGATATTTGACACAGAATTTGAAGGTGCAAAATAACAAATATGTCAATTTCAAGAAGACTAATTATTCGATCCCATCCAGGAATCCATTATCTATTTGCAAGAACAAATTAAAGACCCCTTTAAGAATAAATAAATAAAATTAATAAATGGAGTACCAAATTCTTGTTAATTTTCCAGAAGATCCTTGCTTGATTTTCGGGTTACCTAAAGGGGCTATGTAGGACAGATGGTTGTATTAATCGGATCATTGGTGAAATTACGTCATTAATTATTAATATATCTAAACCTTGTGTTCACATAAAGGTCGGTGATCTTTTGCCAAATCATTACTCTCTCATGTCCACTATAACTGAATTTTTGGCTGTTTTCACATAGATTAAGAAATTCATCTTTTAACATTAATTAGTAATGAAATTGACCATATTAACTTTTACTATCTCTTCACATAAATACTTGATCACATTAATTAGCAATGTAAGAAAAAATAATTAATGCATTCTTTAAATTTGAAAAAATTAGATATTTTGGACTACAAAAAATCACTTATTCTTGAGCGAAGGGAGTAATTAGTTTTTATGTTAGTGTGATTATCCATATGGTCAAGCAACCTTTTATAATAAAAGGGTTAAATAATTGATGACTTTGTCTTTATAATTTGGTCTCCAGTTACTTAGGCACTCCTATTATCTAACACAAAAAACTTAAAAAGAAAAATATAAAAAGAAACACAGTGACAACAAAACGAAAAAGCCTATGACTGGTTGGAAAGACCCCGGGTCCACTTTCTGTTTTTGGGAAAAAAAAGGGAAAAATAGATTTGGTAATTTTGCCATATTAAACCATAGTCTTCCCCTAAATAAGAGAACCCAACAAAAGTACCCTCACAACTCAAATAAAAGTTGCTTCAC